TCTCTCTCTGTGTGTGTGTGTGTGTCTCTCTCTGTGTGTGTGTGTGTGTGTGTGTGTGTGTGTCTCTCTCTCTCTCAATATTCTCTCACTGGCGATCACAGCGCCTGAATAATGGAATGGCTGGACGGAATCTGCGGACTCTGAGAGGAATATTCAGAGGACTAAAAAGGAATATTAAAGATTTTAACATGGAAATAAACACGGGCTTGTGAAATGGAGGACTGGAGGACATGGACACACTGAACAGACGTTCACCGTAAACTCATCTTTACTATTTTTACTTGTATGCTGATTGTCATGGATTTATTAGAAGTTTGTATTTTTGTATCACTGTAATTTGCTTATTTTTAACGTTTTAAACCAAACCGCCAAAGCGCTGATGCTGGAATTCAATTCCTTTCTAAACTATATAAAAAGTGATCAGAATCGAGATGTAATGCGACAGGACTGGCTGATTTATTGAAGGACGTTTCTGGAAAGACTTTCAGTGTTAGAGGAGATTACAGCCGTAATTTATTTATTCGTTTTAATTCACAATAAAGCCCAGGACTCTTCGCTCTTCAGTAGCCGATCTTTGACTGCAACAGAAAGGGAAAACTCGCAGGAAAACAATAATAAACCGATGAGCATGATCCTAGCGTCGCGTTCTGCTCGAGACTAACACAGCAGCGTGAGTCAGAGATGAAGGACAAGTCCAAGAATGCTGCGAAGACACGAAGAGAAAAAGAAAACGGAGAATTTAATGAACTGGCCAAACTGCTGCCGCTGCCCTCGGCCATCACATCTCAGCTGGACAAAGCGTCCATCATCAGACTGACCAGCAGCTACCTGAAGATGCGAGCCGTGTTTCCAGACGGTAACTCAGACCGCTTTACAGCTCGCGCGACTCCACTGTGATCACACTGACTTGCAGTTTATCTTCTTACTTTTATTTGATGATGTTTCAGTAATTAATTTCTAAATTAAACTGTTCACGGTCGGACAATTTAATTTAATTACCCTTAAAGCATTTGAAAACCAACATTTTGGTTAAGTTAATCACTCGAAGTCTAAAAGTTTAAAATAAAAGGAATAAAAAAATAATAGGCCTAATGATGAAAATTAATATGATATCTGAATTCATTTTGATCAGATGTGCTGTGCGTGATGAAATGAAACGGGGGAAACCACCTGCAAATACAATAATAAAGCAGTAATAAAGAGAATTATTTATAGCGTTTTCAGCTTCCTGAAAATATTTATTTCGTTGTTCGTTTTTTCCCTCTTGAGTTTGTAATTGAATCTTTATCAGCTCACATTAAAATCATCGCAGTCTCGCTTGCAGTGAAAATCTGCTTTTTTGCTGAGAGTCAAAAGATATATTTATAATGTGTCATAACAGATCTCAAATTGTAAAATGGATATTTCACAAATGGAAGAAATTGAAAAAATTTGACGCAATAGCGTCTATCAATTTAGGACGCATTAATGTTTCTTCTTTGCCTATGAATTAGTCTATGCAAAATCCAAATTAATCTCAACTATTTAATTTCTTTAATTTCCGTTTTCGGCTACGTGGAAGTTTAGATAACGATATTAAATTATGCTATATGATATGCTGTTGTAAAGAGTAAATTATACATATTGTCAGTTTGTCTCTGATGGACCTGATAACACGCAATAATATAAAATACGTAATAATCATGCATTTTAGTATTTTGTTTTGCCTTTAAAAAATATTTCTGGAAAATACATATTCTGTCGCAAAATGACCCTTTAACAATTTGCATTAAATCGACATGCTAAGTCTAATCACTTAAAATGGTTTTATTTTATGTAATTATGATAAATACATTGCGGCTTCAGCAAAATGTTATGCCTGAATAATTTCCCCCAGATTCACTGCGCGAACTTGACAGATAAGTTTAACTAACGTGTGATAAAGATTTTAATAACTCCCGTAAAACTGCTTTTTAAATTAGATTTTAATACTAAAGCGGTCACTCTGATTTTTTTTTTACGCAAAATCTAAATGAATTCTTCACAACGCACAGTACACCCAGTGAGCTAAAACTCCAGCTGTTGATGTGATGTGTGATACAGGTTTGAACACAGGTCAGTATTTGAGTGTGTTTGTGCTGTGTTTGTGTGAGGGCTCGGAGAGGCCTGGGGTCAGTCAGCACGGGTCAGTCCTCTGGACATCACGGCCAAAGATCTGGGGTCTCACCTGCTGCAGGTGCGAGCCTTTACAACTACTTCATATTTTGACGCTAATTTCTTGAAACGCATCGGATGATTATGCAAATGAACCAACGATCAAGTGTTTGTTATTATGCTCTCTGGTTTTATCTTTCAGACGCTGGACGGGTTTGTGTTCGTCGTCGCGTCTGACGGTAAAATCATGTACATTTCAGAAACAGCTTCGGTACACCTGGGTTTGTCACAGGTGAGAGTTTAACACGAAACCAGGGTCAGTTCAGGGCCACAGTGATAACACTTCAACACACACATAACTGAGACACAACGCTAGAATTCTATCTGGAGAATGTGAAGTGAATTAAACACACTTTTGTTTGCTCCATATCGTCATTTCTGCTTCTATTGAGAAATTCAGTCTGTTCTGAAGTCTGAAAAACACTGGGCTTCTGCTCGTTTAATATGTTTAGATCTTGTAGCTGGGAATGTAAAGAGACCAAACACATTCAAATTGTGTGTGTGTGTGTGTGTGTGTGAGAGAGAGAGTGTGTGTGAGAGTGTGTGTGTGTGTGTGTGTTTTAAAGAAAACCACTGTAGAATTTAATTAATGGAAATACAATTTAAAAAAAATGTTTTTACTTATCTTTAAATATTGAGCTGATAGCCTACATTAGGTCTAGGATAGGGTTGTAATTTTTAACTGTGATGCCATATATAGGAAATCACAATATCAGAAAACCCTGACTCTTACTGAGATCATTTACTATTTATTTATTCTCCCTCATGTCCTTCCAAACCTGTTTGAGTTTCTTCCTTCTGTGGAACACTAAAGAACTTTGATAACCCAACAACTCTAGTGCACATCGACTTCCACTGTATAGATACAAAACACCCACATTTCTCAAAATTTGGTTTGGAAGCAAGTGAAGGTGTGGAAATTATCACATTCTGGGTGAATTATCCCTTTATGCAATTCGTCCGTGCTGATTCGGTGCTTTAGTAATATTAGCACAGCTTCAGGCCTTGTGCACGTTACACTTTACAAATTACATTTTGCTTCTAAAAATGAGCAAACACCAACACATTCCTCCATCTGATGAGAGACGCAGAAACTGCATCTGACAGGAGACGAGGAGCAGGACAATCAGAGTCTCAATCAGAAACATCACAAACAGCTTCATCTGAGCAGCGAAGAGAAGAGTCAGAAGAAAGGGACGAGTGCTGCAGAAAGCATGGGATGAAACCTCAGCTGAATATTTCAATGGACTCTTTTCACATGCGGAAATAAACCAGGAACAACAACGCCTATCATGGGAAACTCTATTTTTGCTCCTGCTTTTCCACGACTTCACAAAATAGGAAAAGAGATGGACTACAGCAGACAGAAGAGACATAGATATGGACATTAATGGTCAGCATGTAATCCCAGAGATTTATTAGTTTGGGTTGAGGGATTCCTGAATTTGATTTGAACTAAAAACTAATAAAAAAACAAATAAATCTGTATTAGAACTACTGTAATGCAGTCACACGTTAAGATAATAAAATAACGATGTCCTTACAACTGACATTAAAACTGAAAAAATGCGTTTCTTAGAGTCAAGAGATCGTGTCCAACATGTTTAGTTGAGGAGCATATCACGTGTTTCCTTGATTTATAGAAAAGATCAACTAAAAGTCTTGTTTGTAGACCCAGGATCTATATTCGTGCTCCTGAAGATGTCCACGGGTGAGTTGAAGGGAAAACGCTGTTTTTATAGCTAGTCAAAGCAGCAGCGGCCGCGAGACGAGCTCCATCGCGAATGATGCAGTAGTGCGGGAACACCTGTGTTTGCTGACTACTGAGCATTCAAATGCGCTGGTTACTGCAGAACGACAGCGTGAACGGCCGAGAGCCAGACTCCGAGCAGATATGAAGCGAAGCACACAGTAGTGTGTTCAGTAAAGTGCGCATTCCTGCACGAACGCGCCGCTGCGCTACAAAGAGCAGATTATCGCGCCGCGCCGCAGTTGCGCAGAAACTCATTTGTCGCTGAAGTGCTGTGGAGTGACCTTCTCTGTGTGCGAGGTGCCCTGCTAATTTACACACAAAAATGGATCAAAGTCCTGCACAGAATCCGCTTTTGTTTTCACATGCAAATCGTGTTTTTATACATGAACTCTTTGCAGCGGGAATCAGACTGTGTCTTTGAGATGGACGCAGATCAATTTCAGACAAACAGGAGCTTAGCTTCACACACACACACACACACACACACACACACACACTTAAATGTGTGAATACACACCCTGTTCACAATAGGCATTTTTGTGAGTTGATGTAATCTTCTTAAATGACACAGATTCTCATCTTAATCTCAGCTGGGGTTTTTTCCCACTTTGCTGCTATTTGACTGATTTCTCTTTATGCCTCCTGACAATTATCTGGCAAAAGGCAAAGCAGCATGACTGAATGATGCTTTAGAATGTGATGTGTGTGTGTTGTAGGTGGAACTGACCGGTAACAACATCTTTGAGTACATTCATCCATCAGACCACGACGAGATGAGCA